CACTCCCTCCAGCCCCACTCTCACATCCCAGCCACTCCCTCCAGCCCCACTCGCCATTTCATTTTTCTTGACAGCTGTATTCAATTCCGTTTTGTTTCTGTACCACCTTCTCTACTCCATTCACCCACCCATTAGTGGATGGACATCTAGGTTGGTTCCATCTCTAGACTATTGTGAATAGGTCAGCTGTAGAAATGCAAATCTCTGTGTGGTTTGTTGGCTTAGAGCCCTACCCAAGTGTAGGGTAGCTGGGTCTCATTCTATTTGTTTTTGAGAAATCCCCATCCTGACGTCCGTCCATCGTGGCAGCCCGGCGCCTTTGTATTCTCACCAGCAGTGAGTAGCACCCCTTTCCCACATCATCATGGCACTTGAGAATTGTTTTCTTGATGAAAGCTGCTCTGACTAGGAGGAAATGGAATCTAAAAGTAGTTTTAATTTACATTTCCCTTGTGGCTATGGTTAGTGAGCATTTTCTGGGTATTTATTTGGCTATTTGCACCTCTTCTTTGAGAACTTTCTATTCAGCTCATCTGCTCATTTTGTTACACAGTCTTATCTAGCCCAGGCTGGCCTCAAACTCACTGTGTAGCCAAAGCTGTCCCCGAATTCCCGATTCTCCCGCCTTCACCTCCACGATGTTGAGATTATAAGTTTGTTCCATGAACCCAGCTGACTAGATTCATGGCTTAACACACCCCGATCTATCTCATGTTTACGGTGCAAGAGCCCCTTCATTATATGTCATGCATACTCTTTCTTGTCTACCATTAATTGATCATTCCCTTGGAATGGCCTGTACCTGATGCCCCAGGTCTTCAGCTATTGCTGTGCAGCCTCTCTGCTGACCAAGATACTGAGGACTTAGGAAGCAACTGAACCAGTATTCACACAATTCATTCCTTCTTCTTCCCTAATCCCTTCTAGAGGCCACTACTTGTGCTCTGTGTATGGGGCACGGCTGATGGTGCCAGCTGGCAAAGGACTCATCGTGATTGTCTCCTCCCCTGGGGGCCTGCAGCATATGTTCAATGTCCCTTATGGTGTGGGCAAAGCTGCGGTAAGGACCAAGGCACAGGAGTTGGGGAGGTATACAGCAGTGTTGACAGTTGGAACAGTCCACAGTTGTCAGAGTAGTAAGACTGGTGACTTTCATCTCTCTCTCTGTCTCATGCACTGATCGTTCCTTTGTGTGGACCTCCCTCCATCTGTCAGAGTAGGTATCAAATGTGGGAAGCTGGTGGCAGAAACATCAGGGCTCTTGAGAAGGATGTGGGCCTGGGGTATCCTCTTGGACTCAGAGGAAGGTAAGTTGGGCAGGTGTCCAGGTTCTCATTTCTGCCTTCTCTCCCTCCACAGTGTGACAGACTGGCTGCTGACTGTGCCCATGAGCTACGGCGACATGGAGTCAGCTACGTATCTCTGTGGCCAGGGCTGGTGCAAACAGAACTGGTGAAGGAGTTTATGGCAAAAGAGGAGCAGCCTGAGGACCCTCTGTTTAAGAAGGTTGGCAAGGGAGGGTAGGGGCCATAGAGAGCAAAGGCATCTCTCCAGTCCCAAGAGCAGTAACAAGTGTAAGTAGTGCATCTATAATTCCAGCATTCACAAGGCAGAGGTCAGGAGACCTGTGTGACTTCCAGGCCAACCTGACTGAGGTCTGAGCCAGCCAGGGCTATGTAGTAAGACTACTAAATCAAGAAAGGGTTGTTGTTCCCACGTACCAGGTACTTCCTGGGGCAGACACAGGCTGAGCGTGCAGTGTGTTACCTCTTTTAATCCTGTAAAGCAGTTATTATCCCCATTTTATAGATAGTGAAGCAGAAACCCAGAGAGCTTAAGAAACTTGGTGCGAGGCTGGAAGTGTAGCTCAGTGGTAGAGCATTTGCTTAAGTGTGCTGGCATAGGCTCAGTCCCTCACAATGAAGAGTGACAGGAAGGAGGGAAACGTATTCCATGTTATGTGTCATAACAGGACAGGATGTCTGACACCAAAGCCCACACAGTAACCTTGCCCTGATCTCCCCTAGAAGGTCCAGACACCAGTTGGGATGCTCTGGTCCTTCTGTCTATGCATGGGAAAGGGAGCCTTAATGCTTTCTAAGACGTGGCCATGCGAGTCCTGCTTGGTTGTGTCCATCTGGGACAGAAGGTGAGAGTGCAGAAAGGCACAGGCCTTGGAAATTAACCCCTAACTTCTCAACCTATTTTTTAGATGAAACCAGATTTCTCATTGGCCGAAAGTACAGAAATGAGTGGCAAGTGTGTGGTGGCCTTGGCAACAGGTAGTAACACTGGGTGACAAAGTGCATCTTTGGGGCGCTCACAGCCAGTTCCTAAATTTTTCTTGGGAGATGACAATGGTTGTCTTTTCTGTCTGTTGGAGCTCAGAGGGTCAGGATTCCTGGTTGAGGCCTGCTATGAACTGCTGCAGGGTAGTGTGGTCTAGAGCCTTTGTGTGAACACAGAGAACTCTTGCTCAGGGCTGTGCACCGTGCATGCCTCAGCCACACCCTGTCCCAGTCAAACATTGTCACTAGACACCACTTCCAATGCTCACTATAGATAAGTGTGTGTTCCCACAGACCCCAATATCCTGAGCTTGAGTGGGAAGGTGCTGCCATCCTGTGACCTTGCTCGGCGCTACAGCCTTAAGGATATCGACGGTAAGTGCTTGCTCTGGGCCAGCTTTAACCAATGACTGTGTTCCCTACTCTTTTCCTCCAACTTTTCAGCCAGAGTTGGGGTGTCCGAGGAGTAGGAAATAAGGGTCTTCTTGCTCTTCTGTTATTCCCAGGCCGCCCAGTCCAAGACTATTTTTCTTTGGGCTATGCCCTCTCACAAGTCTCCAGCCTGGGATGGCTGAACTCCTTCTTGCCTGGCTTCCTCCGAGTACCCAAGTGGATTGTCACTCTCTACACCAGCAAGTTCTAGCCTCCTGATCTGCTGTCCCAGCCCTTCCAGAACCTTGTCTCATGAGGCTCAGGTGGGTAGGGCTGTCTCAGTGGAACAAACCCACTTTCCCACACACCCGTGTCCTCACCATGAAAAGAAGGTGCCTGCTGGGCATATATTACATTCTGGGGGGCTCTAGTCGGTTCTTTGTGCTTTGGTTTTCCCTGTCCCTGCATTTTAAAATTTCGCTTGAATAACTATAAGTGCTTGTAAGTAGAAGTGAATAAAGGTCTCATCTCTCCTTCAGTTTGTGAGTTCTCATTCTGTATTAAAGTGGTAAATGTTTGAGAAAAAGATTCATCTATGTAAAAATGTATAGGTTCTCAGGCTGAGGTTCAGTGGATACGGCTCTCAGAACAAGCTTGACGACCAGATTCACATTCCAGAAACCTTGAAAAACTGGATGTAGTAGCAGTCTGTATGTAATTCCACCAAGCCTGTGTTCAATGAGAGACACAAGTGGGGGAATCCCTGCAAGCTCTCCTGCCAGGCACCCTGGTACACACAGTGATGTGCACACAGTGGTGGAGAACAGCTAAAGACCCTGCCAAACAGCCAGGATTGTCATGTGACCCACACGTGGGGCATGTACCCACATTCACATGCACATACACACCTTGTAATTACATTAGCCAGATATAGTGGTGCACGACTTTAATCCCAGCACTGGAGAGGCAGAGCCAGGAGGACCTCTGTGAATTCCAGGCCAGCCTGATCTACATAATGCGTTCCAGGACAGACAAGACTATACAGTGAAACTCTGTCTCAAAAATTAATTAATTAAAATTAATTTAAAAATTAAAAGTAGGCCCTGACGCACACTTTTAATCCCAGAACTCAAGCAGCAGAGACAGGTAAGTCTGAAGCTAGCCTATTCTACATAGAGAAGTCCAAGCTAGCCAGGGAGACAGAGTGAGATCCTGTCTCAAAAAATAAAATGGGAATCAAATGTCTAGGTTCTAAAGGTTCTCCAGTCTCTTATTGTGAGGCTCTCTCCTTCAGAGCTGCTTCTGTTCTTCCTAACAAGACCCCTCTCTCATGCTAGGGCCAGGGTCTCTCCAGCTCACTCTCTGCTCTTACCGTCTTTCCAACAATACCTGCTGTCTCTGGGCTTCCAACATAGGCAGATCCTCTGGTGTGTTTAACTTCCTGGAACTGGGAGAAAAGATACTTTCTGATTCTAATTAGACGGAAGCAGCTGGAGGTGCTGGCACCCTCGCCCTTCCTCTTGGGACTGTATCACCTGAATGAATCATCTTCCGCAGAACTAAGTACATGGACCCTTTAGGGCTGCGTCCCAGAGCAAGGCAGCAAGGCATTTCTAGGAAGCCAAGGGCATTTCTGCAAGAGTGACAGACTGAAGACACTATCAGGCCCCAAAATAGAAAAGCTTTCACGGGAGATGGGCAAACACTGTCAGCTGCAAGAAGATTGGCGTGATCAGACTTGTAGTAGAGGAAGCTCCCAGGAGCTGAGGTGTGGGCAGAGGGGGAATTGGTTGTAGTCATGAGAGGCTGGCCTAGTATCAGTGTCACCAAGAATATGATGATACATAGGTGTGGGCTGAGGGGAGATTGCAAGAAGCAGTGTCTACAGACGGGAGCTGAGCCAGAACAAGACTCCCACTGTCCCAGGCATGGAGGAGAATATGCTAGCAGCAAGCACAGAGAAATTTTGAGAAGCCAGCTTGCCTGAGGGCTTAGCCCCGACCAGATACCAAGGGGTTAGTTGAGATCTTGCCTACTCTAGGAACAGAGCAAGATATTTGCCTGTTTCTAGATGGCAGAGTCCAAGGAGGGATGATGGTTGTCAGAGGTAATATTCATGGCCTGGATTTCCAAAGCTTTTGAAAAGCATACAGTGGAAAATGTCTTATCCCTGTTTCCTAAGTACCCCATGCCCAGCCCAGAGGTAGCCATGTGGAGAACCCATTCTCTACAGATAGACGTATTCAAAGTAGAGAGTTGAAATTGGCACTGATGGCATTTTCCAGTGCCTGAGTCCAGGTCTGGTTTTGTACCCCACCCCAGCCCCACCTCTCCATTCCTTCTGGGTCTTTAGGTAAAGGCCCCTGTCATCAGAAACACTCCTGCCCTACCAGCAGGGGGTGACAAGAGGGAGGGCTTGAGAAAAGGGCAGTGGGGGGGGAGTCTCTGAAAGCCTCCAGACCTCTGCCTAGTCTGCTCTCCTCACCAGCCAGCTCACAACATGGATATGAGCAGTGGGCCACACCTAAAGTGACCTTCCTTCTAGAATGATAAATCAGGGGTACCAAAAATTAGGAATGCCTCAACCATTAAGAGTACTTGTAGGTCTTGCAGAGGATCTGGACTCAGTTCCTGGCATCCACATGGCATAATGGCTCACAACCATCTGTAACTCCAGTTCTAGGGGAACTGGTGCCCTTTCCAATTTCCTCAGCCATCAGGTATACAAATACCACACATACATACATTCAGACAAAATATTCATGCGTCCACATAAAAATAAATAGTAAGGAATGCAATGTGAGGGGCCTTGACACCAGTCATGGCTGAACCAAACAAGGGATTGAGACTCCAAAGGTTTTTGTTTTATGTTGTTGTTGTTTTGTTTTGTTTGTTTTTGTTTTTGTTTTTCAAGACAGGGTTTCTCTATGTAGCCTTGGCTGTCCTGGAACTCACTCTGTAGACCAGGCTGGCCTCGAACTCAGAAATCCGCCTGCCTCTGCCTCCCAAGTGTTGGGATTAAAGGCGTGCGCCACCACCGCCTAGCGTTGTTGTTGTTTTGGCAGTGTTTCTCTGTATAGTCCAGGCTATCCTGGAAATCTCTCTGTAGACCAGGCTGGCCTCAAACTCAAAGATCTGCTTGCCTTTCCTGAGATCAAGGTGTGTGCCACCCCGATACCCACCCCCGTCCTAAGATTGTTTGTATTGTTTTTCTTCTTTGTTTTTAAAGAAGATTTGATTATCTTTTACTTTAGAGCTACTATCCACTTATAAGTGAGTACCTACCATATTTGTCTTTTTGGGTCTGGATTATCTCACTCGGGTTGATTTTTTTCCTAGTTCCATCCATTTGCCTACAAACTTCATGTTGTGTTTTTGTTTGTTTGTTTTGTTTTTAACAGCTGAGTAATGGTATAGATGTACCACATTTTCCTTATCCATTCTTGAGTTGAAGAACATCTAGGTTGTTTCCAGTTTCTGGTTATTGTGAATATAGCTGCTAGGTCCCCTGCATATATGTTATGGCCTAGTAGCTTAGTGTTCTTTTTTTTTTTAGACTCAGACTATGGTTATTTTATTTGACTTTGACAATTACTGGGGGGTAACCCCTAATCTACTCTTCTAACTGCTGGCCTGGTTAGCTCCCCAGTGGTGTACCCCAGATACTTGCTGTTTCTCCTGGTCATGTGCTCATAGTCTGTTTCCCCTCATGGTGGCTTCCTCCTCTCCTCTCATTCTTCCTCCTTCTTAGCTTAGTGTTCTTACAACTTCTAACAGTGTAGGAGTGGGGGCCGTCTCTGACTCTTTTGCCTACTTGTGAGACCCTTTTCCTCCTATTGGTCTGCCTCATCCAGCCTTGAGGTGATGGTATGTGCCTGGTCTTATTGTAGCTTGTTTGGTTGATGTCCCTACAAGGCCTACTCTTTTCTGAGGGAATATAGGTAGTAGATAGTGGGGAAGAGGGTAGATGAGGTGCAGGGCTAGGGAGAGGAGAGGAAAAGGAAACCAGTTGGAATGTAATATATGAAAAAAATTAAAAATTAAAGAAGATTTGAAGCCGGGCAGTGGTGGCACATGCCTTTAATCCCAGCACTTGGGAGGCAGAGGCAGGCGGATTTCTGAGTTCGAGGCCAGCCTGGTCTACAGAGTGAGTTCCAGGACAGCCAGGACTACACAGAGAAACCCTGTCTCAAAAAAAAACAAAAACAAAAACAAAAACAAAACCCCCACCCCCCCCCCCCAAAAAAAAGAAGATTTGAGGGGGCAGTATGTAGCAGTGTGTTTGTTATGTGCATGCGTGTGGATGCCAGAGGAAATCCTCAGATGTTACTCTGAACCCGTGCAGCTTGTTCCTTGGGACAGGGTCTCCTGCTAGGATCTGGGTCTCATTTATTCAAGGAGGCAGGCTGTCTGCCTAGCTCTAGAGACCTCCTGTCTCCATTACTCAGCATTGCTTGGAATAGTGAGTGCAGCCACTCCTTGCTCTGTGTCTGGGTGTTGAACTCAGATCCTTATGCTTGCAGAGCAAGCACCTTATGGACGAAGCCCATCTTTGAGCCCGAGCGTTTGGAGGACATGTCATTGTCACCCAGTTTCCATCAACTGGTGAAGTCCCCTTTGGGCCCAGGAGGAAGGATGGAGACCCCTGGTAGCTGAGGGAGGGATGAGGTAATGTGGATGGCTGGGGGCTGAGTCTTCAGACATGGAATCAATTTAGTCATGAAGGAGCCAGGGCCCAGTGAGCAAATCCAGGAAAGGTGGCCGAGTCCCAAACTTCTGTTTCTCCTTTCTTTTCCTGGATCTTACCCATCTGGACATTCACAGACCTTGACACCAAATTGAGGCATGGCTTAGGAGATCTGGTCCTTTCAGCTGTGTGGTTTTCTGTTCCTGAAGGGAGAGAACCTCCATATGGTCTCAGAAAACCCAATGCTAGGTGTTAGTGGCACACCCAGCTCTTGGGAAGCAGAGGCAGGAGAATCTATGTGAGTTCAAGCCCAGCCTGACCAACAAAATGAGTTCCAGGACAACCAGGGTTTCACAGAGAAACCCTACCTTGAAAAACTAAAAACAAACAAAATAATAATACTAATATAATAATAATAATAATAATAATAATAGAAGAGAACCCAATGCTACCACAGCCTCTCTTCAGTCACCTTCAGTCCTAGGTCTTCACTCTCTAGGTCCATCCCTTCCGTAAAGCTCCTCTTCTGTGAACCCTGCCTTACCCCTCCCCCAGTGTGAACCCTTCCTTATCCCTCCCCCTGCTCCTCCTAACCCTAGCTCCACTACCTGCACTTCACCACCACCCCCTCCACTGGAATATTTCTCTAACTCAATCTTCCAGTCAGCCAATGTTCACGGCAGCCTGCCCATGCCCAGCCCTGGGCCGGGAGAGACAAGCACTCACTGGCAAGCTTACATACAAAGGTCTAGCTCTCAAAGTGCTTTCAGCTATCAAGAAGCAATAAGCCACTCTTGGTTGTGCATACCTTTAATACCGGTGTTTGGAAGGTAGAGGCAGGAGTTCAAGGA